TATCTGCCTTCTAAATCAAAAGCCTCCTGCCCAGCCCCCACAGTGTGCAGTATGGATTACAAGTATACACTACCACGTCTGGCTTCTGTGAACCTCCTCTCTTCTTCCTCCCTTTTTTTTTTTTTTTTTTTTTTTTTTTTTTTTCTTTTTTTTAGGCAAAGTTTTTCCTTGTAGCTTTGGAGCCTGTCCTGGCACTAGCTCTTGTAGACCAGACTGGCCTCGACCTCACAGAGATCCACCTGCCTCTGCCTCCTGAGTGCTGGGATTAAAGGAGTGCACTGCCATCTCCCAGCTTTTTATTTTTTGAGGGGTGAGAATTTCATATATGAATTATACCATGCTGCCTCCTCCCTCAAACTCCTATGTCCCATGTGAGCATTCTTTTGTAAATATTTAAATTATTTTATTCTGTATGTATGGGTGTTTTGCCTGTACATATGTATGTCTGTGATCACATGTGTGCTTGCTATGTACAGAGGCTGGAAGAGGGCATCAAATCCTCTTGGAGTTATAGATCATTGTTGACTTACCATATAGGTGCTGGGAATCAAACCTGGGTCCTCCAGAAGAGCAGCCAGTGCTCTTAATCAGTGAGCCATCTCTCCAGTCCATGATCATTCTTGTACAAGTTTTTTTCATTTCTCTTTGGTAACTCCCAGAAAAGGGAATGCTGACCATGCCTGTTAGAGACTGCCTTCATTCCATGCTCCCAGCAGTAGACAAAGGTTTCAGTTTATATCCTTGTCATTTTTAGTGCTGTGACTGTTTTTGTTTGTTTTCTAATTTTTGATATTTTAAAATAGGTATGAAAAGTCTCACATGAGTTTTATTTGCATCTTCCTGGTAATTAAATGTTGAGTAGTCTATGGGCTTACTGGTTGTTCATATCCTCTGTGAAGCTTTTTACCGGGGTGTTTGTTTCTGGGTGTTGAGTTGTGAGGTTTATTGTCTTTCAAATACAAGTCTTCTCTCAGTGACTTAGGTGGGTTCCTGGAAAATCCACTTTGAGATTTGTGTGCAGAACTTTATTGGGGGAGTGCCCTGTGATAACATCTGTGAGAGAACAACGGGATAAAGCAGATGGAGAAGGTGAAGTGTCACTTGGTTGCTGTAGGAACAGGGACAGATGCCTGGCCTGAAACAGACTAAATGAGCAGTGTTTTCCCAGCATTCCCTGAGTTTTTTTTTTTTTTTTTTCGAGACAGGGTTTCTCTGTGGCTTTGGAGCCTGTCCTGGAACTAGCTCTGTAGACCAGGCTGGTCTCGAAGTCACAGAGATCCGCCTGCCTCTGCCTCCCGAGTGCTGGGATTAAAGGCGTGCACCACTATCGCCCGGCTCCCTGAATCATTCTTGCACTGTGTAACTTATCTGTTCTCTCTCTCTCTCTCTCTCTCTCTCTCTCTCTCTCTCTCTCTCTCTCTCTCTCTGTGTGTGTGTGTGCGCGCGCGCGTGCACGCGCATGTGCATGCATGTGCATCTGAGGAAGCCAGAAGAGGATGTTAGGGTCACCTGGAGCCTTCAGTTCTAGGTGATTGTGAGCTGCCTAATGTGGGTGCTGTAATCGTAGATTAGGTCCTCTGCAAGCATAGCTTTGTCTCAAAAAATAAGGTGGAGGAGAAGATACTTGATGTTGGTCTCTGTTATGCATGTACATCCACACATACACATGTACATACAAACACAAAGAAAATGGAACAAAACCCACAGAACCATGTTAGTATTGATACCTAAGTTTACTTTTTTATGTGTTTTTTATAAGTTATTATATACTGTATATTGTTTATACCTTATGAAACAAAAGTTGTTATATTTAATGTATGCTTTTTGTATATTATGATGGTTAATCTCAGTTTTCAACTGATGAGATTGAGAATCTCCTGGGAGATGGGCCTCTAGGAGGTTGTCTTGGTTAGGTTAATTGAACTGGGGAGACCTGCCTACTGTAGGTCCATTCCACGTGACATAAAAAGAGAAAGGGAGGTGATCTCTCCCTCCTGGTGTGGGTGTGATGTGAGTGGCTACATCAAGCTCCTGTTGTCTCAACTGTCCTGTCATGTCAGACCGTGCCTTCACCTTGGGACCAAGATAAACTTCCTCTTGCTTAGGTTGCTTTGGTCCAGAATTTCATTGCAGCAGTTGGAGAAGTAACTATAAATACTTTTTAATAAATCCATCTACAAGTACTTTTCTCACAGATCAGTATACATTATCTTCCTTTCCTCCTACCAGTACGTCATGACTTCCCGAACCCATGACTAGACACTGATCTCCCAGAGCTTTTGTGGCTTAGGTGCTGTTCTTTCCTTTCTTGGACACTTAGTTTAAATTAAGTTAGGACTCTTCATAAGTGCGTGTTTATTTTTGCTTTTCCCTTTCTTTGGGTGAATTTCTAGAAGTGAAGTTTGTGAATCAGCTTTGGTAGGAAGGTAGGTATGAGGGGGAGCAGGGAGTGGGGAGAGCCTGAGCAAAAGTCACTTTTTAATTTTAATCTGAGTGTGTGTATGTGTGAATGAAAGAATGTTGTGTGTGTATGGTATATGTACATGTGTGAAGGTGGCTTGTGAAGGAAGACACCAGGTACCTTGCTCTGTCACTCTGCCTTATTCCTTTGAGACTGGATCTCTTACTGAACCTGGAGTTAGGCTGGCTATCAGCAAACCCAGTGGTCCTTCTCCACCTCCCCACAGCATTGGGGTTACATACAGGCAGGCACATAGCCTTGCCCAAGTTTTTACAAAGTTTCTGGGATCTGAATACTTGTATGGCAAGTTCTCTTACCCATTAAGTCATCTCTCTAGCTCGAGAATTCACATCGTTGAGACTTTAAACCTAAAATGTCATCTTGTGGCCCAAATAAGCTGTAGCAGTTCATATTCCTGTCACATTTAAGGAAATACACTCATTGCTCCTGTTCATGAATAGTAAATGTTTCCCTACTTCATTGCCAACTTTCTCTTTTTGCTTCAAGGGTTGTAGTCTCACTGGCTGATACTTGCAATCCCAGCAGTTGGGAGACTGAGGTAGGATTGTCATAGGTTCAAAGCTTGCTCAGGCTGGTAGTCCCTGGCCAGGACAGTGTGAGGCCTTACTATTTCCTGAGAAAGTTAGTGGTTAGAGGAAGAAGGATTCTCTTTTTTAAATTTTTTTTTAATTTTGTATTTTGTGTGTGTGTGTTTTGCTTGCATGTATGTCTGTACCACATGTGTGCAGTACCCACAGAAACCAAAAGAGGGAGTTATCCCATGGAACTGAAGTTATAGACAGTTTTGAGCTGTGGGTATTGGGAATTGAACCCCGGGTCCTCTGGAAGAGCAGTCAGTGCTCTTAATTGTTGAGCCATCTCTCCAGCCTGAGACATTTTCTTCAGTGGTGTAGCCATTGTGAGGTGCTCATGCTTCTGTAAACAAACCCTCACCCGGGGCTGGAGAGATGGCTCAGTGGTTAGGAGCATTGCCTGCTCTTCCAAAGGTCCTGAGTTCAGTTCCCAGCAACCACATGGTGGCTTGGCTCACGGCCATCTGAAATGAGATCTGATGCCCTCTTCTGGACTGCAGGTAGACACACAGACAGAATATTGTATACATAATAAATAAATAAATAAAATATTAAAAAAAACCCTCACCCATCTCCTGTATGATACCCTAATGAAACTCACAATCTTTAAAGAAAAAAAGACTCAAAAGTGGCAGGGCGGCTAGTGGGGGAAGAGGAGAGGGACTAGTGGAAGTGAAATAGGGAGGACGTATGCTCAGAATACATAACTGCCATGGACTGGAGCAGCGACTCAGTGGTTCAGTGCCATAATGAGACCTATTACTTTGTATGCATGTTTTTAACTAATAAAAACGAGCTGTTTATCAAAAACAAACAAATGGACTGGGGATGTGGTTCAGCTGGTAAAGTGCCTAAGTGCTACCTAGAATGCATGAAGCCCCAACACTGCATAAAACCAGATGCACTGTGTGGATCTCACACCCATAGTCTCAGCACTTAGGAACTAGAGGCAGGAGGAGCATAAATTCACCGTCATGTTGTTTTTATCTAAATCTCAGCCATTCAATTTTACCAATAAAGTCTTGGGAGCCAGATGCTGGGGAGAAAACCTGATAGCTCAGAAAGGCAGAGAAAGTACGTGACTGACTTTCCTCCTCCGCTGACATCCCAGAAAGAGCTTTCTCCTATGTCTCCTACGCTGGCCCAAACAAAACTCCTCAAACTGAATGCCCTCTCCTTCTCCTTCCAGTGCATCTCTCTATCTGGCCTCCTGACTCCCTCATACTCTCTCTTTTTTTCCTGTCAACTGGTTGCATGCTCCGCCTCCTAACCCATGCTTGACTTTATTTAATCCTATTTACAATATTCTGCCAGAAAGCTCTGAGATTAAAGGTGTGTACCAGGGCTGAGCCACACCGCAGCGAGAAATGTTTTTTTTGTCTAGTAAATAACACAATTTTGGGGTTCACAGTATGATCAGATATCCTAAAATAAAGCCATCCTTAACTACATTATCAAGTTTGAAGCTGGCCTGGGCTATACAAAACTCTGCCTCTCTAGAAACAAAGAAGTCATAATCTTGTTGTGTTGCCCAAGTTGTCTCAAACTTCTGGGCTCAAGAAGTCTTCCTCCCTCACCCTCCTCAGAAGCCAGTGTGCCCAGCTTCTCATCTTTAACTGTATTATTTATGAAGCCAACCATTCTTCATGCTTACTGGCCATTCCCATTCATCAATCAGTCTTTCTAACAGCAATTCTCAACCTGTGGGTTGTGACCCCTTGGGGGCAGGTTGAATGACCTTTCACAGGGGTTGCCTAAGACCTTTGGAAAATACAAATATTTCCATTACAATTCCTAATAGTAGCAAAATTTATAGTTACAAAATAGCAACGAAAATAATTTTATGGTTGGGGGTCACCACAAAACAAGGAACTGTATTAAAGTGTCAAGTATTAGGAAGGTTGAGAAGCACTGTGTTCTAATACTGTCTTCTGTTGTTTTTCCAGGAGCGACTGAAGCTGGTGACTGTTTTGGGTGCTGGTCTTCTCTGTGGAACTGCACTGGCGGTTATCGTGCCTGAAGGGGTGCATGCACTTTATGAAGAGGTTCTGGAGGGTAAGAGAAAAAGCCTTACATGAGAAGTGTTGGTAGAGGAGTGAGTGAAATTTCTTCTGGATACAGTTCATGTTTGTTTTAAAAAGGGTATTAAAGAGATAACATTAGACACCTTAGATATTGAATGCATCCTTAGCAGTTTTCTGAATGCCACAATTCATTAACTACTTAATATTCATTTGCAGTAATGAGTGATTTCAATCTTTTTTAAAGTCTAACAGTTCTCTCTCTGTCTCTCTCTGTCTCTGTCTCTGTCTCTCTCTCTCTCTCTGTGTGTGTGTGTGTGTGTGTGTGTGTGAGTGATGCATGTACGTGTATGTGTTTGTGTCCGTGAAGTACATGCTAATAGTATACACAGGAGTATGGAAGCCAGAGGTTGATGTCAGGTCTCTTCCTCTCTCCCTCAGTACCTTATTGTTGTTATGTTTATTTATTATTTCTCTCTCTCTCACATGGGGTGGGTACACATGTACTGTGGTGCATGTGTGGAGGTCAAAGGGCAGTTTGTGGGAATCAGTTCTCTCCTTCTGCCATGTGGGTCCATGGGATCAAGTCAGCTTGCTTACAGTTGTCTTTACCCACTCAGCTATCTCCTCATACTCTCAACCTTGTTTTTTGAGACGAGGTCTCTGACTCAACCTGGAGCTCACCAATTTGGCTAGACTGTATGGCCAAAGGGCTGAACAGATCCTTCTGCCTCTGCCTCAGCAGTCCTAGAAAAACAGGCATACACCACCATGCCTGGCTGGTGCTGGAGATTTGAACTCAGAAGAGTTGAAACATATTCCCTTGTTGCCCATATTCTGGGAGAAGTTACTGAACTACTATTTTTCCTTTAAGTGTTTGGTAGAGTTATTGATGGGTTTAGCATCTGGGCCTGGTGTCTTTATGTTGGAAGGTGTTTATATTAATAACTTTTTCATTGCTGTGACCAAATTCCTGAGAAGAAGCAGCTTGAAGGAAGAGAGATATTTTGGCTCATGGTTTAAAAGGATCGTGTCTTTCATGGTGGGAAAAGTCTGGCTGCAAGAGTGACTCAAAGCTATGGTGGCAGGAGTGTAGAGTGGCTGGTATATTGCATTGGCCATTAGGAAGTAGAGAGAGACAAACAGACTGACTGACTGACTAACCAACTGACTCAGGGAGAGGTGTGTATATATAACCCATAAGGCTTGTACCAGCAAGTCATTTCTTCCAGTAAGGATCCACCTCTTAAAAGTCTCATACCCTGCCGGGCGGTGGTGGCACACGCCTTTAATCCCAGCACTCGGGAGGCAGAGGCAGGAGGATCTCTGTGAGTTCGAGACTAGCCTGGTCTACAAGAGCTAGTTCCAGGACAGGCTCCAAAACCACAGAGAAACCCTGTCTCGAAAAACCAAAAAAAAAAAAAAAAGTCTCATACCCTCCTAAAATAGCACCAGGGCTAAGAACTAAATCTTCAAACATACAAGTCTTTGGGAAACAACCTGTTAACTTCCAACCGTCACGTCTTGACCCTGGCCCTCAAAGGTTTATGGTCATCTCATAATATAAAATATGTTCAATACGACTTTGAAAGTCCCCATACTCTTGCAGTTCAGAAACTGTTAAAAGGACCAAAGTTTCCTCTGGTACTCAAGGCATTCTCTTAACTGTGAGCCCCTGCAAAATAAGAAACATGTTAGGTCTTTCCTAGTGTACAGTAGCACAGAGTAAACGTTTGGAAGATAGTATGGAACAGCAGTTCTCAACCTGGGGGTTGAACGACCCTTTTGCTGGAGTTGGAGTTGCGTATCAGATATCCTGTATATTAGATATTTATATTATGATTCATAGCAGTAGCAAAATTAGTTACGAAGTAGCAACAAAAGTAATTTTTTGATTGGGGGTCACTACGTGAGGAACTAACTGTATTAAAGGGTCACAGCATTAGGAAGGTGTTCAATTGCTGTGAACAGACACCCTGCCCATCCAACTCTTACAAAGGAAAACATTTCATTGTAGCGGCTCACTTACAGTCCAGAGGTTCAGTCCATTATCATCATGGTGGGACATGGAAATATGCAGGCAGACACGTGCTGGAGAGGTAGCTGCTACATGTTGATATGCAGATAATAGGAAGTAGATTGAAACAGCATAGGAGACCTCAAAGACTATCCCACAATGACACACTTCCTCCAATAAGGCCACATCTCCCAATAGTACCACTCTCTATAAGATTATGGGGGCCAATTACATTCAAACTACCACAGGAGGTTGAGAACATTTTCTATACTATGGAAAGATGAGATCAAAGTCAACTGGAAACCCAAACACCAAACAGTGCAATTCAGGGTGGCATTTCATGTGCTCTGATGTACTTACGCAACCCTGCCCCATAGCTCTGTCCCCTGTAGCATTTGTGGCCTCTCTTGTGCTGCTGGCTCCACTGGGTCCTACTGCATTCAGAAGAAGATGGCTTGTGTTCTCCGTCCCAGTGACCCCCCTGTCACAACTTAGCCTTTACCCTTATAGCTTCATGCACAGCCCACTCAGGGAATTGGGTCTTTTCTCACATTGCCTGGCCTTAGAGGATTTCTGGAACTTTGTTGCAAACCTTGATCAAATAAAATAAACATTAAAAAAAAAAAAAAAAAACTAGAGCCAGCCACGGTTGTATGTATCTGTACTCTTGGTGCTGGGAGGGGAGATGTTGGAGGGTAGAACATAGGTAAACCTATCCCCGGAGGGTGCTAGCCAGTCACTGTAGTCAGAATGACAAACTCCAAGCTCAGTGAGAGACCCTGACTCCAAAAATCAGATGGTGTGCCAATCAAGGTGGCTCAGCAGATGAGGGGACTTAGTGTCAAGCTAGATGGTCTTGGGAATTTGATCACAGAACTCACGTGGTGGAAGGAGAGAACTGACTTCCTCAAGCTGTCCTCTGGCCTCCACATGCATACACACAGTTGAGCACATGCATGTATAACACATGCACACACATACAAAGATGTTTGCCCTTTGTTATGGGAGTAACCAGTCATTTTTGATTGGCTATAAGACCTGCAGGAGATGGAACCTATACTTGACACTGCTAAAGTGCCCAGAAACCTGAGACTAGATAGGTCATGAGCCTAGGGAAGCCTGCTGCTATTCTGCTAAAGGATCATGGAATAAAATGACTTGTAGTGATATACTGCTATAGCCATAGTGGAGAGCATGGCTCAACCCTCATCAGAGAAGCTTCCTGCAGTAAATAGAAATTAACAACTGTAGTGATAGGAGAGCGGCGGGGCTGCATCCCTGGCACCTGGCCACCCGCATGGCTAGCTTTACCCGAAATAATTACACGGAAACTGTATTCTTTTAAACACTGCCTGGCCCGGCTAGTTCCAGCCTCTTATTGGCTAGCTCTTACATATTGATCTAACCCATTTCTAATATCCCTGTAACACCACAAGGTGTCTTACCAGGGAAGATCTTAACCTGCGTCTGTGTCCGGTAGGAGAATCATGGCGACTCCTTGACTCAGCTTCTTTCTCCCAGCATTCTGTTCTGCTACTCCACCCACCTAAGGGTTGGCCTATCAAGGGGCCTAGGCAGTTTCTTTATTAATAAGAAATCACTCCCACATCAAACGACAAGACCCACAACTGGACAATGTGCAGAGTGGGAGACTTTGAAGCACTTAGTCCTAAATGGGATGTCTTCATCAAAGTCCTTCCCTCAGGACTCAGGGATCTATGCAGAAGAGGCAGAAAGACTCTAAGAGCCAGAGATGATAGATGGCTCTAAGGAAACACCATCTTCCAGACACAACAGGACTGATGCCCATAGGAACTTACATATGAACCCACAGAGGCTTGCACAAACTGCACAGGTCCAAACCAGACAAGTCCCAGCACCAAGAAGGGGAGTAGACACAAAGTCACACCTCTACCCATAACCAAGAAGCTATTTGCAATTGAAACCTGCTAGGATAGGGACAGTTAATTTTCTTCAATGGAAACCGAGTAGATCAACCACACTTAAAGGCAGGCCACATCCCCAGGAGTAGTTTACTGAGATAAAATAGATCCTATGGTTTTTTTGTGTGTGTGCTTTTTTTTGTTTGTTTGTTTTGATTTGTTTTTGTTTAGGTAGTTTTTAGTCTTGCTGACTTTCTTTTCTTTTAGTCTGTTTTGATAGTTGGATTTTTTGTTTTTGTTATTTTGTCTTTGTTTTGTTTACAGAGAGAAAAAATATAAAGTTGGGTGAGTAGGGAAGAGGGGAGGACCTGGGAGGAGTTGCAGGAAGGGAAAGAATGTAATCAAAATGTATTATATAAAAATGTTTTTAAAAAAAAGGTTGGTCTTTAAGCATTTATGTTTGAAGTGTCAAACACATAA